ATAAGCAGTATGAAAAACCTTAATAAACTCTTTTTTTTGAAATAAATTAGAATTATAAAAAATATTTTTGAAATTATTAAAAAACCCATTTAATAAACATTTAATTTATAAATTTCTTAAATTTATTAAATTATGTTTGAATTAATATGGTTAGTGGAAAATGTTTGAGAAATACTAAAAAATGTAATTATTACAATCATTATAGGGCATTTTCAATGTAACTGTAAATTCTAAAAAACAATATAAAGTGATTAGATAAATCTAGTTGTTATAAGCTTTGATTAAAATTGTTATAAAACTCCTTTGATCTCACAAATACAAAAGTACTAAGAACACTTTCTGTATAATATTTTATATTCTGTATGTGATATTTTTATTATTTCAAATAATCAAATATGTAATACTTAATTTCCGATTTTGAATCTTTTTGTTAATTAATGCTGCTTATAGATCTGTTGTATGTATTAATACTCACATATAGAAAATGAATTTGAAATAAAAAGTTAAAGATGTACAGTGGGTGATCGGTTAATGAATAAATCAGATAACAAACACCTCATAGAACAAACACAAGAAGCAAAGTAAGATAATGAATACTGATTGGTCTTCCCTTGTCTTCAGACAACAATTCGAAACTTTTTGGAGTGTGGGAGACGTCGACATCGATGCTCAACCTGGTATATACCAATCGGATAGTATTCCTTCAAACTTTGAAACTCTCCCTTGTAATTCCAGCTTTTTATTTTTCTGACAGAACAATTCTTTTATAGTATTCACGAGACTGTCGAGTGAGCACTTGTTAAGTTTTGCGTTGGTTTTTATTTTTAAAAGGTAAGAGTAAAATAGCAAAAGTAGAGAGTGGGCAGAGGTCTGATGTCTGTTGTTGCTGGGCAGTATGGCTTGAACAGATCTACAGTAGGCCTCAGTTCAATCTTATCTAAGAAAGTTACTGTATTATCAAGAAGACTCAAGCAGCTAAAGAAGTAACAAAAATCACATCTGAGAAATAAACAACATTGAAGAGCTCATAATGGAACCTGAAACGGATCTGATGACAGAAGAACGCCAAGAACTTTTGAATGAAGAACACCAAGAAATTCGGCGAGATATATTTTCTTCTGAAAAAGAGAATTAATATCGATATCTGCTATTAAACATTTTTTTGAAGAAGTGGGATGATTCAGAACGACGGTCTTAGAATGGCATCCAAACCAGGTTGAGGTTAATAGGCTTAGGGATCTCTACAATTACAATGCTATTAATTACTTCTGAAAAATCTTGAAGAGAGAAAAGCAATTGACATTAGACAGATTCTTTAACCCCCACAAACGGAAAAAACATGATTAATAAAAATACAAGACTGTGTATACAGTATATGTATTTTTATTATTACATATAAATACACATAGTAAAAAANTTGACATTAGACAGATTCTTTAACCCCCACAAACGGAAAAAACATGATTAATAAAAATACAAGACTGTGTATACAGTATATGTATTTTTATTATTACATATAAATACACATAGTAAAAAAGTATATATTTTTTATTTTTTGGGGTCTCCATCAAATTCCCGTAAAACCCTATGATAAATCGATAATCGGTTAACGAACAATTCAGATAGCAAACAAAGTCTTGGAACGGATTATGTTCATTAACCGATCACCCACTGTATTTCAAATGTATTAACAGTATGACTAAAGCTGGTTTAATACTCAATTATGTTAAAATAAGCACAAAGAAAATCAAGGTCTTTCTTATTAATGATGCAAATAATTTCAAATATTTACAATGATGATATTTTCTAGCTTACAAAATTCATTTAAAATATAAAATAAAGGGGATGTATTTAAAAATATGCAACAGTTTAAATGAAAAAACAAAAATAAAATTTACAGTTTTAGAAGTCAAATTTATAACAGAAACATCAGCTTCTAAAAACTATTGAAATAAGCTCTATGTTTTTTTTAATTTAAGAAATGCTTAAGTTTTAAACAAATTACACTGAATTATAATGCTTAAGAATGTATATTTTTATATGAAAACAAATTATGTAGTAAGTATTATAAATATAAAATATATTTTATTAATCCCAAAATAATCTCAATATAAATTTGTTTACTCTTTATCAAGTTGACCAAGGTATTTTAAACAGCATGTTAGATTAAAATATAACTATAGACTGACCTAAGTTATAGTATAAGTTGGATGTTAGAGATATCCTAGTAAAGATATTTTAAAAAATTAATATAATAAAAGAATACAAGTAAAATCAATAAAATGGAAATTTTAATTCATTGCTATATTGGGGGAAAAAATAACCCATAAAATTATTTTTTGGCATTCATTTACAACAATTATTACAAACATGGTGGTCTCAAGGTCTTTAATACCTTGAGTTAAGCACTGTGTTAATTATCTTATTCAATGAGTTCTTTCAGTTTATGCCAAATTTAGCCTGCTATCATTTTAAACAAATTACAATATGATTTTGAACATACATTCATTTCATTTACTGTAGAATAAGTTTATTTCAGGATTTCTTTTTTACAGTTTCATTTATTTATTTTTCTAATGACAAAAATATTAAATATATACATTGCATTTATGTAGATATTTGGAAGAAAGCTAACTGGGGTATACATCCATTCTCTGAAACAAATTTTTTGAACATTGGTACTATTTTTTTCTTCAAGTCACATGTTAATTTTTGTATTTATATTTATATCATTGCATTCTATATTTGCTTTCCTTTATATCAATATTCTTGATTGTTTATATTATTACTTAAGCTTTTATCTTTTAAATATATTACTTGATTGTTAAATGCCAAGTAATACTTGGCATTTAACAATCAAGTAATAAGATACCACAATACATCCATAGAAAATTATAGTCACATTTTTATACTAACAGTTCTGATAGTTAAGTGTTGTGCCAAACTTTAAGAATATCTATCTAAAACTATCAGATTTTTTTTTTAAATGTTTAAGTGAAAACAAAACTATTTGTTGAGTCAACAAGCATTAGTAGCTAAATAAAAAATTTCATGATGCATAGATATAACACACTTGTTCAATTATGTAATGTCTAATGAAATTTTTTAAGACTGTTTTTACTTTATTTGAAAGGATCTAAGGAATAAAAATTTTTCAAGAAGTTCTATCACTTAAAAAACCTCAACATACTTAAAAATGTTAATCATTATAGTAATGTAATGATATTACAGTGATAATATCATTGTATTACTATTTGCCATGTAGTGACAATAATAGATCAATTTTTTAAATTAATTCATTTGATTTTTGCTTAGAAAATTATTTATTATAAAATATATATTTATAAATCAATCATATTAGGTAAAATATCAATAATTCATAAATTTTTCTTCTCATTGTTCTTAACTACTAGATATGTAATTAGGATGATTTGTAAAATAAGTTAATTTTTGATTATTACATCACATAATCTTGCTAAAACAAAGAAATTTATTTATAATCTAAGTGATTCATAAGATTAAAAATTAAGGCAATTTTCTATTACAAATTAAAAAATAATTTTAAAAGATATAAAGCAAGATTCTTAAATAAAAACAAAAAAATGATATTATGCAAAGCTAATTCTAGATTTTATAAAACTTTTTATCAATATTTTTTTCTTTTTATACTACTGCCATATAACTACTGTATAATTGAAAAATGGATTTTAAAAAAACCAGAAAAAATTTTATGCAGAAATTAAAAAGAATAAACGTTGCACTTACTATATCATTATTACTAAATAACACTGATATTTTAACCAGTATTATACCATAAATAAGATCTTATATTGATTAAAATAGTTAAAAACACAGTATATTTTACTAAGACAAGCTGAAATGATATGTTAACAAGAAAAAAGTTAATTTTGTAAAATTTAAAAACTTTTTAACTTATTTTAAAATTTAATTCAAGAATATTGAAGAAATTCTGTCTCTTATTTAATCTTGTAATCTGTTAAGAAAATATTTAAAATAACTACTTTGTTGGATCCTACTTATATTGAATAACAGTTTCTCTAATACTTTTGGAAAATTAAGCCTATTGTCAAAAGATATGCAAGCAAAAGAATCATACTAAAAAAACTATTATTGAACATAAGCTCTGTAAAACATATTTTTGTTATAATTTTAAGAAATTGAAGTCATTTTCATCAAAATATACAGCGATTCATCTATTCTGTATTGAAAGTTTCAAAACAGAACAGTTATTTAAAAATAATGGCAAATTGCAATCTGGAGACCAAAAGCAATTCTGCTGGGAGTATAAAAAACATTTAAATTAAACAGTTGCTAATTTAGTTTAAGACGGGTACAGGATATCATTTATTCAAGCTAATTATATATCATCTTATAATAATAATTTTAAAATGTAGTCGAAATAAAATTTATTCAATTTTAAATTTAACAATGCCCGAATTGCAATAAATTACTTTCCTAATAACGAGCAATGTAAATTAGATTGATGATGTGATAATAATATACATTGATGACATAATTTATTATTATTATTATTAAGTATTAAATATACAAAAAAAAAAAATTGTTTTTATAATAAAATTTTATTCTTGTTAATCATAAATTCTGGAATTTTTATTTATTTTATTTATTCAAGAAATAATTATATATAGCTTTTAAATAAATTTATGAAAAATTAAACTTAAATTAATAAAAAATTAATTAACATTAAAAATGTGTTTAAAAAATAATTTTAAAATAAGAAATTTTATTTTAAATAAATAATACTTTTGTATATAGAAAGAACTGCTATTATAGACGTACAAGAAAATCATATGACGTTTATAAACATGCATAATAATGAAATGCGTTATAAATTATTTAAAAAAAAAAAAAATTGCCCTTTAGTCAACTGATAATTAAAATACGCTACTTATGTTATGTTAATTTACACATTCGATTTATTGGAAAATAAACATTTTCATCCTGATAATATATTTTACCTTCTGTGAATAAAAGGAAGCAGGATGATAATACAGAATCAAAGATTCGTCTGCTTTAGAGTGAGTATCGACTTCCACCGCTGCCATTGCTGTTTCGTCCTTTTAAAAACACACCTTGAAACGCATGCGCTGACATTTAATGTTCGATAATAATAAAAAAATAATATAAAAAGTTCAGTTAACCGAACAAAAATCTATAGTAAAAATATCATAATTATATATATATAGTATTAAATTTAACATATTTTATTTATTTATTTATTTTGGTATCACTAATAAGTCATATCCATTGCGGATTCGGCCAAACTCTCATTGGAGTGCCAGTATTGAGAATCGGGCTCAACGTATCGGGATTAGACCGCCCATGAGAAGTCCATGGAGAGTTGCTGGCTCAGATTCGATCTCAGGTCTCCCACAGAAGTTGGCTGATATATATATATATATATATATATATATATAAAGTTACATAAATATAGCGATCGAACGTGCTTTCGTTTTAGGGAATATTAACTACTGTACGTGTGTGAGGACCCAAACGGGGTCCGAAAGCAGGCCATTAACGACTTTTTAAATGAGTCAAGTTTCGTAGTGCGAAAGAACGAACTTATCGGATTTAAACAATGAACCTTTTGTCTTGTTAAAAGATTTTAAACAATAGATAGAGTAAAGTCGAAGAAAACGAGGTTGGAGAGGAGTCGTGTTCCGACGCGACGTTGAACTCTCCCGCGCCCTTCCTGGAGTTTCGAATTGTCACCATGTGACGAGGAGAGACCAATGGAGAGGCGACCGCGGTGGAAAAATTGATAAAACCGCGTTTTCGGGAACTTTACGGAGTCTTGGGTTTTGGTGTGTAGTGCTCACCTGTCGGGATTTGGTGCTCCCGACCGAGACGCAACGAAGGCTCTTCCGACGACCTAGGAACTGGTTTCGCCAACCCGTCCACTCTAGGATCGCCGAGGTCACGTCCAGAATCGTCGAGGTTCGACTTGTCAACCGAGGACATCACTACAAGTGTTGGTGCGTGCCCCGGAGCCATCGTTCTCTGCGTCCACAGTGCCGAAAGCTCCCCA